GCAATCCTGGGATCGAAGGATTGCGGACATGTTCCAGCTTTTTGTTTACCCATGTTTTTCAATTTTTTTAAATGAGAAAGAAGCTAAATTCATTGCTTGAAATATATTCAGAATATTCTGCCGAAGGAGAACAAAAGTGATGATAAATTTGAATAAATTGTGTTGAGTGTGGCAGGGAGTCTAGCTTCTGCAACGTCGCAAAAGGAGATCCGTGACTTCGCACTTTGATCATCGCATTGTTTATGTCTCATTCAAAGTTGATCTCTGAACTTCCTATTGTGCGAATATGGTTTATTTACGTGAAATTTTGAGGTACGCTTCCGCCGAAAATCCATCGCCCACGGCGATTTCCATGACAACAACCACCTCGGGCAGCCGAACTACACCGAAATAGAAATCTCGGTGTATTTACTAAGAAAAGGGTAAAATTTCCAAGAATTCAGGGTTCTATTTGATCCCAGTTTTTTCTCGGTAAAATTATCATTTATGGAATTGGTAATTTTACCGAGAAATCTCGGTAGAATTATTGAACTTTCTCGGTAATTTTACTGGACCTTGGTAAAAACGCCAATATTTTTGATCGACTGTGGTAGGATTACCGAGATAAAATGGCAAAGTTACCGGGAATTGATTACCAATAAAAGTGGTATTCTTACCTGAAAAAACAGTAAAAATGCCGGTTTTTAGGTAAGCTTACCAGTCTGTCTTGGTAAAATTACCAATAATTGGTAAAAAAAAGTGAGATGGTAAAGGTACCAACGGACCTCGGTAAAAACGCCGAGAATTTTTTTTCAGTGTATCAGCTGATCGAAAAAAAAGCGCCCGAAAATAAGGATAAACCGCGCATCTCCCGACGGCGACGGGACGAACGGGATAACCGATCTTTCAAAGGGCGGAAAGGGCGCGGGGCCACCGCACGATCCCTCTATTTTTCCCGCCATAGGGAGACCGGGACGGTCAAACCGCCATTGAGCTCAGGGGAGAAATTCATTAGCGCCGCCCGCGGCGCACTATGGTCTAAAACTCAAGAATACGAAGAAATAAGTCGGACAATGACTGAAAGATCACAAAAGTTTGGCAACCGCGCCATGATCCTTGAGTCGCTAATTTCGGATCTGATGTCAAATTGCCTAAATTTTAACACCCTGACTTATTAATTTTGAGCAAGTTTATGGCACGCTGCGGCGCGACGTGCTGCCAGCTCGAAACGCGCACTGACGCCTACAAACCCAAAGGGATACTTCAAGCATTGCGCAATGCGTGAAGTAGCCCGTTAGGTTTGTAGGCGTCAGTGCGCGTGTCACGCTGGCAGCACGCAGCGGCTCTCCCGGCGGGTGGGCGGGGAAGGATTTCATGCGGGGAGAGGGGTGGATTTCTGTAGATTTTCATTTTGGGAATTTTTTTTCCTTCAAAAAAAATTTTACAGTAGGTAATCCACAAAGCATTTTTTAGAAGTATTATACTATGTAGAATCATATTTAAGTGGAGGGGTCAACTTCTGTAGGGCCAATTTTTTTTTTTGCTAGTAAGTGAACGAAAAAAGTCTACTTTGTCAACTCCAGCCAGTCTCATTTCACATCCTGTATTTAGTACTTGCAAGGCTTCTTTCCTTCAACTTAAGGTTTTTTATTGCTCTTTCAAGTAAGAGAAGTCAAGTGAATAAAAAAAGTATGAGGATAATACTTTAAAATGACTTACAAATGGTCATTTTTGGAATTTCAGTACGGAAAAGGCTTAATATTCTGAAAAACACACTTTTATTTTAATCCTCCTAGGAAAAAAAACCAATCGAAGATACTGAAAATGCATTAAATCTCTCAATGATACCCTTAATTAAACTAATCTTCTCATAAAACCGATTTGATTCTTAAAAAAATAGTCTTTGCAGTCGTTTTTTCACCGATGGCCGGAGTTGACAGGTAGTACGGAGTTGACATAGATGAAATTACAGAACGAAGTTATTTGAAAAAATAACGAATATTTAACTAAAGACTAAAAGCTAATGAACTGGAACAAACAATTGAACAAAAATATTACACGAATGCCAAATAAAGCTCAGTTTTACAACGTTAAACGTCATTGGGCCGAGTCGACAAGGTCGGAGTTGACATAGATGAAATTACAAAACAAAGTTATTTGAAAAAATAACGAATGTTTAACTAAAGACTGAAATCTAGTGAACTGGAACAAACAATTGAACAAAAATGTTACACGAATGTCCAATAAAGCTCAGTTTTACAACGTTAAACGCCATTGGGCCGGAATCGATAAGGTCGGAGTTGACATAGATGAAATTACAAAATAATGTTATTTGAAAAAATAACGAATATTTTACTAAAGACTGAAATCTAATGAACTGGGACAAACAATTGAACAAAAATATTACACGAATGTCAAATAAAGCTCAGTTTTACAACGTTAAACGCCATTGGGCCGGAATCGATAAGGCCGGAGTTGACATAGGTGAAATTACAAAACAAAGTTATTTGAAAAAATAACGAATATTTAACTAAAGACTGAAATCTAATGAACTGGGACAAACAATTGAACAAAAATATTACACGAATGTCGAATAAAGTTCAGCTTAATAACGTTAAACGTCATTGGGTCGGAGTTGACAAGGTCGGAGTTGACGCGGCCGGAGTTGACATTTGAGTGTTTTTCGCGGGAAAGAAAGTGTCCACGATGCAGAATACAAACAAAACCGATTGTTTTGAGGTTCGATCGTGCAGGTACATTATATACTGAATTATATCACTGGCGCCACTTCCCCAGTATGAAATTTTAACATAAATGGAGTTGACAGTTTCAAATTACCATTTTTAGAAATCCAAATATTTGATGCAGAAAAGGTTTACTTATGTTTATCAAAGCGGTGTTTCCGATAGCCCGGGCCCTCCAACTCTTGAAAAAACACAATCACGATGGCTACCCTGCGCGCGCACTATCAGCTGTTTGCTCCGGAATGCGCGAAAATAGCTCCGCCGGAGTTGACACCAAAGCTAGCGACACAACTTTCTATGTATGGTGCACGTTCGCCTGACTTTTAAATAGTTTTCTAACAATTTTTCAGTAGACCCAATCTATTCAACAATTTAAATAAAGCATCAAAATTGTGCAGGACTCCGCCAAAAAGTCAGCAGAACAGTTCTTGTGTTCGAATTTAGCCTGGCGACATTAGCCGGAGTTGACATTTGCACTATTAAAAAAATCCCCGAAAGTATGTTTCGGCATTTAAAATAGATTTAACAATTTTTTAAGATTGCCAAGACCTACCGAAGTGTAAAAAAAAAAGAAGTTAGACATATTCCGTTGATTACCGCCTCGAAATCATCCGGCGACAGCAAAATGAAAATCTACAGAAATCCACCCAGAGCTCCCTGACGGAGAAACTCGTAAATCGACGGTGTAAGTCGGCGATCTTATAACTCGGTTCGCAACGTCGCAGACTTCCTTGCATACTGTATTTTTTGAACGGAAAACTACTCAAAGGCAATTCTTCTAAACTGCCGTGATTTTTCCACTCTGTGAGAAGAAAATTCTGCATAAACTTCATGGAATGATGTCAACTTGTTCTGTTTTAAAATAATAATGTAGAGGCAAAGATTTTCAGACACCGCAAATGAATTATGTGATTGCCGACTTACACCGTGAATATGGTGTTTTTTTTTTTTTTTTTTTTTTTTTTTTTTTTTTTTTTTTTTTTTTTTTTTTTTTTTNTTTTTTTTTTTTTTTTTTTAAATTCTTGACTTTTAAAATTACACTTTGGTCGTGTGAAGTAATTAGTGAACTCTCAACGCTAGATGAAGTGTAATAATGAAAGGCGGGTCGTGCACCACGCGCGCTGCGGACGGCGCAGGGCGGCTCATGAAATTTTCCCCTGTGCTCTGTCGGTCAAACCGGTACCCCTTGCGCCCGGATCGGCCCGACACTCGACAGTCCCCGCTAAATTTTGACCCAAAGTATCGGGCTTACGGAATTATATGTTGTGATGATGATGATAATTTATCACGAGTCCATGTTAGCTAACAGTGCGATAAATCGCCGTCGGTAAAATCCCGAATTTATTGCAAATTGATACGATGAAATCGTAATTTATCGCAATGTTTTATCCGATGATGCAGCAATGAATCGACGTCGATAAAATCGCGCTACATTCTCCGGTCTAATAGCAACTCATCGCCATCATTGCTACTCGGGTGGTTGAGGATTTACGAGGAATCGATTATCGACCTTTCCCCCATTTGAAGCTATGGTGAAGAATCGAGTATCAAGGTGTTCGTTGCGAAAACCTTGTTTATCGATCTTTTCCATAGGTTTAAATGGAAAATCAGTCTATATATGAACGAGTTCATCATAAAGGAACCAACCCTCGTTGAATTGTAACTGAGAAAAAGAGGTTTGAAGTTTTATTCCTGCATTAGGCTCATGTGCAGTAAAGAAACTTTAACCCCTCTTTTTACAAACCAATTTCTGTTTTTCGGCTTCCAGTTTTTGGCAGGAGAAAATATGCGGCTTGTGAAACTCAAAAACACTCTTAACTCAATTTTTTCGAGAATGTGGTTTGGTTCCTTTTTGATAAACACGGTCCGTATTGAAAAGCAAGCTACGCCACTGACTTACACCGTTGATGCGTATGGCATACAGCATACCGACGGTGAAACTACCAAACCACGTATCTCGTTTGCGGTGTTTAAAAATCTACGCTCACATTTTATTTTTTTGAAGTAGACCAAATCAATATCATTCCTTGAAATTTTCACGGAATTTCCTCCGCACAAAGAGGAAAAATCACAGAAATTTTCAAGACTAGATGTTAAGTAGTTTTTCATTTAAAAAATAAAGTATGACAGGAAGTCTGCGACGTCGCAAACCGAGGTACGTGGTTTGGTAGTTTCACCGTTGATACGCGCGAGAACCGTGCAAAATTTTAAAAAAAAAAATTTAAAAAAGGAGGGGGGGGGTGAATCCTGCGAGAAAAATAGCCTGGGTAGCGGTACCTGTATCGTCGTAATGTTGCCGGTAGATTATCCACAAGTTGCGCTGTTTCTTCTTTTTGGTGGCCTTTTTGACGGCTTTCTTCCAGAGTTCGGCCATGCTGATCGCGACCCGGTCGGAGACAAATTGCGGAAGCCGCGGGCGCGCCGACCCGACCCAGCCTCAAAACCCCTGTCGAACACAATTAATGACGGGGGCTTCCCCCACGTCAATTTTATTCGATATTAGGCGGCGTTGCCGCGTGAGCCTTGACATTGAAAATTAGTGCCCTCGGTGAAGCTAAAATCACGGAGATTCTCACACAACCGGCAACCTCGCGCTCTATTTGGAGCGCAACCCGCAGCGCCGTTGACAGGTCGTGTCTGACACAGTGTTCGAAACTCGCCTCTGAGTTTCAGGAGCCATGTGGCGCATCAAGCTTGATTTTAGGGGCCATTGAAGATTTCTAAGGGCCAAATCCACTTTTGCCTACATCTCACAGCGCATTTAGTGAAAAGTTAGACGCAAGATGTTTTAGTTACAGAACTAGTCGCTATAACTTGGGGGAAATTTAAAAAAAATCACCAAGCAGAAGAATTAGGATTTTTCTTTTTTTTGGGGGGGGGGTGTAATTTTTTTGAGGCCACATTGGCGCAGAGCCTTCATTTTTTAGGCGCCGTAACCGATTTCTTAGCCGCATTTGGCGCGTTGGCGCCTATGAGTTTCGAACACTGGTCTGGAAGGAAAGCCACATTCCATGTTGGTCATTTTGAAACCACGTGCCTCGTTCCATGGCACTGTGTGATGTTCACCTTCATTTGGATAGTTAGGCAAAGAGAGCACTTAAGCGTCGGAATAGTTGCCTAACCGCTCAAAATGAAGGCGAATCGCACGCTGCTACTCTTTCGCAAGTCCAAAACCACTCTCCCATGCGCGAGGTGATGTTTGCCTTGAGGCCACTGGTTAGCCAAATAGATCAATTGGACGTATTTCTATCAAATGAAACTAAGCGCCATCGAAGAGGAAGGGAGGGGGGGACTTGGAACGCAATGCTCGTTCCGTGCTATACTTTCGGTGTTTTTCCATGGCGCTTAGTTCCGTTTGATAGAACGCGCAGAGATTTTGAAACACCGCAACCGCAAGACGCACATCTGCAGTTTCATCGTCGACACAGCGACCAAAAACTTAGAGTAATATGAATGTAGGGTGGAATCTCTACTCCTTACGGAGTGACTCACCCTACAACGGAGTGAAATCTACTCTTCTTGCGGAGTGTCACACGCTTTTACGGCGCCAATTCCACTTCGTATCCATATCACTCGAGGTTGGAGGANGGGGGGGGGGGGGGGGGGGGGGGGTGACTCCGGCGCTGAATTTCGCTCCTCGATTTTAACAGTGTGTGGTCTCAGTACCAGGATCCCCTGCCTGCACAGACCCAAGAAGCAGTGATCGCGATAAATATCAATTTTATCGGTTGGTGGTCGCGAAAATATCGGTGGCAATATATCGATATATCATCGCATTGAAAATTGCGATTAGTGGCGATAATTTCGCTACATATCGCTATTTTTGGCTCGATAAAATTTTGATCAATTTTCGTCGATAAAATCGATATTGAATCACTATTTATCGCGATTTTTATTCCGAAAATATCGCGAGCGCCATTTAATCTCGATAAGTCGAGGATAATCGCTTGGATGTTGATGATCCTGGCGTGTAAAATCGCAATGTATAGCGATTTTTCCGTTGAGAAATACCAATGGGGGACGGTCGCAAACCGCGTTTTTTCGGTAGAAAGAGAGAAATGAAACTTTTTTTTAGCGGGACGATTTGACGGCGGCGTAGTTGACGGTGGCGGCCAAGTGAAAACATGCGATATGTCAGGATGGTCCTCCTTCCGTCGGTAATGAGACGACCAAAACGGCTCATCACCGTTCGACCCGTATCTATACACAACCCTTCTTCTCCCTTTATTCCGGTCCCCCGCCACCGCCAATAGCGGGCGCATGCAAAGAAGCCGGGGGCTTTATTTCGTCGCTCCCCTGCCGCAGGGGCCTATCTCGAAATCCGTATGAACTCCAGAAAGCATGGGTTTATATGTGAAAGACAGAGACGGATGTAGCAATTTGGCAACACCGGATTCCCCCCATTTAAACCTATGCTAAATAATCGATTCTTGTCGGAGCACCTGCCCCCCCCCCCCCCCCAAGAATCGATACATTTCCATAGGTTTAAATAGAGAGAAGCCAATGGTAAAACAGGGCTCATGTGGCAATGGAGGTTGGCCTTTACGCCAGCGAAGCGACGATTTGACATTGCGCCGTGGAAAAAGCATTATCGATGACTAAACTCGAAAAATTCATTACTCCACGTCCACGCGGTTTTGTAATTTTTCCGATCGTGTCTTATTTTTTCGACAGAAAACCGACTAAAATACTTGAAATTTTTCCTGAATATCTTAGAATGGGAGGAAACAACACCCAGAAAATCTCAAGAAAAACTGTGTTCATCGAATACCATACGAGAAAAAATACTAAAAAAATGGCCCGAACTGTATGTAAGAAGATGGAGAATGGTGCCGGGTCCACACCATTTCGCGGGGAAAACAAAGCCAAGAAATTCCAAAAAAATTTCAATTTGAACAAAAAAAATTGTTTGCCCTAATGAGTGCCAGTACAAGACTGAAGGGGAAGGGGGAGTGTTCAGCTCAGGCAGCTTGCGTTGAAATATTAAGTTGGGGTCTTTTTAGACCTCATCAGTAGATACACCCCCCTCCCCCCGGTCTTGTACTGGTACTCATTAGAGCAAATAATTTTTTTTATTCAAATTTAAATTTATTTTGTTATTGATTGGCTTTGTTATCCCCGTGAAATGGTGTGGACCCATCGCCATTTCTCCACCTTGTTAAATACCATACAATCATACTGCCGTGCAATCCAAAAACGCCGTAAACGCCATTTAAATTTTTTTTGGAAACAACGCATCATAGCAGAAAAACTTGTGTACCTGCGGACAATGTTTTTACAGAATTCTCTCACAAATACTATCAAGAACTTGACCTGAAAATTTGAATTGCGCGGGTAAAATAGTTTTCATTTTATAAATTGTTAAGTTTCAAAAGACGCGGGAAAATCTTGATGGATTTACGGCGTTCTTGCTTATAGCAAGGCAGCATACCTATGTCGCAGGCAATTAGCAATCGCCGGCAATTTGCAAGCCAGTGGTGAATAAATATAGAAAACCATATAATTCAAAAATAAACAAACAAGATTAGAGTTCTTATTATGTTGCCTATAATGTGAATAGACACTTTTCCGTCCTTAAAAACATGGCAGAAATTTGCGCACCCTCAGGAGAGCGTGCAGTAAACCCCGTGACATTATTGGTCGGGTTGAGATCGGAAAGGCAACTAAACTAGCATCAAGACAAAGCGTAGAGTATCACCAAAAATGAAGGCGCTTCAAGCCGAGCTCATACTTTTGAAGACCATACCCCTTAAAAATCGCGTTATTGCGATATATTGGAACAACATGTGAGCCGTTTGCAAATTGTCGGCGATTGCTAATTGCTTGCGACACATAAACAGAGACGGTCGTGACTGCGCTGCGCACGAGATGTACAAACGTTAGTGTGCGTGCGAAGTAACCGAGCACTTTTTGAACTTCACGATACAATTTTTTTAGCGTTTTTTTCATAAAAAAAATACCTTCTGAAACGCTAATGGAGCCCTTGCATGCTACGAAGAGCCTCAACTTCTAGATTTACTTTAGTTTTTTTTTTATTTTTTTCCCTCCTGCGAGTTTGTATCATGATGGGAAGAAACATTGATCATGTTTTTGCGAAATGTTACATTCAACTACGCACATAAATCTTAAATCCTTGCGACTTGACGTACAAGAGCCCCATAATTATCTTTGTCATTCTCACCTTCAATACATCATTTGGCAATAAATTTCGCGGTACAAATTCTGAGTTCGAGTCTGTTTGGGCATGCAATTTTCACCGCGTGTCGCCTAGCTGGTGACACCTTTTTTCTTGGAATTTTGTTTCCATTTTTTCTGTTTCTGATGCCATTGATTAAAATCATCAGACTATATTGTGTGCTTCTCGCCTCTGTTGGATAAAAATGTGTCGCGTGCGTCAACGCATCTCGTGCGTTAGCTCAGCTCTCCCCCCCCCCCCCCCCCCCACGGGGTTAACTGAGCACTTTCCCATTGTTTACAAAATCAAAATTTTGACCATTAAGAAATTTAAAAAATGAAACATACTATTTTTTGCAGATACCTGACTTTATACTGAAGACATTGTCCTTTAAAGATTAACTCTACCTATCACCAAATTTGTTTTATGATTTTTCAAAAAAATGGTGCCCACTTAACCCCAGGCTACCCTAATACGAATCCAAATTGAATCAACGTCAATTGAATCGCTAAAGAATCGGGAATTGAGCTTGGAAGATATCGAAGGCTTAAGTTAACAGACAATGCGTAGCTTCATTTATTTCTGCATCTATCCAAACTTTCAATACTGAAATACTCCGGCACCTGCAACTTTTTAGGCTCTAGTTGAAAAGGATCGATTGCTCAAAAACCAAATTGTCGGTAAATCGCGGTTCTTTGAAAATCAGAGATTGTTCGCTTCGACCCTGGACGCATTTAGACTTTAAAGGCAACGACGCGCAAGCAGGGAAATTAGAAACGCCTTCAATTATGTCTTCATGCAACACGCACAATCATGAGGTACGTTTAGTTGCATTCAGGCGTTGGCATTAACGGTGGCCCGACGCGACACGGCGCGGCGCGAGACCGAGTAGAAAGTTTATACCGTGTTTTTTAAAGGGCGATATATCCGTGTGGAAACTTGTTGTTCCATTACTTTTGGCCGCTCTATAATCTGAAATCAATAAAACACGATGCTGTGACAAGCGCAATTGACCGAAGGTTGTGAATTCGATTGACATGAATCGATCGACAAATAAAAACGTGAACTAATCTACGTGATTCGATGGACAAGGATTCGATTGAAAACCGTGACTCAATCGACAAAACCCGTGTGTCCATCGACAGATCCGTCAATCGATCAACAAACCCCGTAAGTCGATCGACACAACCCGTGAATCGATCGACAAAACCCGTGAGTCAATCGACCGATCCGTCAATCGATCAACAAACCTCGTGAGTCGATCGATAAACCTATGAATTGATCGACAAAACCTATGAATTGATCGACAAAACCTATGAATTGATCGACAAACCAGCGAATCGATCGAATTTTGTCGATCGAATCACGTCGATCAGTTCACGTCGTTTTTACTTTCCGCTCTGCTGTCGATCGAATTGACCCCGGTTTTATAATAATTCTTTGATCGAATCGGTGTCGATCGGTTTACACCGAAAAAAATAGTTCTGTTCACAGAGCTCCTGTATTCCTTTCGTAACGGTCACAGAAGCTTCCGTTATAATGACAGAGTACTCTGTTTCCAAGACTGTTACCAAATTCTGTTTTCACAACAGAAAAATCCTGTATGCGTAATAAACAAACCGCAGGAGCCCTGTGAACAGAAGGCTCTGTCGTCAGCACCACCTATTTTTTTTGTGTACGTCGATGGAATCCATACCCTCCCAACTGACTCATTGATTGGATGTTTGGAGACGTACACACGGGTCAAAACAAGTGATGGCGGAAATTTTATTTTTCAGTACAAATTGCATAGACTCAGGGGTTTTCTTGTCCGTCATAGGATGACGCTTGCGACGACATTCGTGAGAAGGATCTAGATCGCGATCTCGCTGAGCTCTCCATCGAGGGGGACTTCAAAAAATCCCTCAGGGATCCGAGCCAACTAAAGGTCTTCTTTAAGGATCTGCTCGACTTGTCCCGTTTGACTTGACTCCTTTGTCTCATCAACCGTTGATCAACGTTTGTTGGGTTCTCGCATCGTGTGTACCGAACTGCTAGTTCATCCACCTTCACCAAGCCGTTGTCCGCGCCGTCGTTGAATGTTGACTCGAACTTGAGCTGAAATATTTATACACACATAGATTATACTCACCATACATATAAAAATCAAAAGATTAAAATACAAAAATGATGATAGACAATCATCTTTTCCATTTAGTAAAATATAGTCCGTGACCTATTCTAATCGCCCAACTCGATCAAATGGACGTATTTCTATCAAACGGAACTATGTGCATTATGACTTGAGTCCTGTTATGCATATATTCTTATGGATCTCAGGGCTCATGTCTTAATGCACATAGTTCTGTTTGGTAGAAATGCGTCCAAATCGGAATCGTTGAAAATTAAAGATCTACAACCTTTTTCACATCAATGAAGAATTCCGACGGTGTAAGTCGGCAATCACATAACTCGGATTGCGACGTCGAAGACTTCCTTTCATACTTTATTTTTTAAACGGAAAACTGATCAACGGCAATTCTTTTAAACTGCTGTGATTTTTCTTCTCTTTGCGAAGAAAATTGTTAAAAGCCCGATTGTACAACATTGTAACTGCCAACCATTGAAAAAAACTACACGAAAAAAATTGTAGAACAACCATGTTCAAGTTTTTTAAGAGATGAATGGATGGAAAACCCGACTGGCGCACTCGAAAGAAAGCGTATATTTATCTCTGATTGGAACGTTAGACACCCCTTTTATGCTTTATTTTTAATAAATGTTTTTAAACAGCCACACTCAGTTTTTCTGAAAAGTTTCCGTGAATTCATCTAAATGATCTCAAATATAAGTATCGAAAATTTTGAAGCGATATTTTCGCTCGTCCTATTTTCTTTTAATGTAACCGAAAAAAAAAATTAGGTATCATTCGAGTTTCTGAATCGTTACAATGAGGATACACATTTTCCCTTTAATTATGGTAAAAGTTGGAGTAGAAAGTCAAGAATGACAACACGCAGTCGTACAGCATTCCTACGGTCTTGTAGGCGCTAATATGCGTCTCAAGCCAACCGACCGACTCCACTGCGTTTAGCGCAATGCGAGAAGTATTCAAGCAGTCTTGTAGGCGCTAATATGGGCTTGACGCACTGTTTGGCGCGATGCGTGAAGTATTTCTAAAGGTTTGCAGGCGCTAATATTCGTTTAACGCCAGCCGCACTGTGTTCGGCGCGATTATTCAAACTCGCGTTAGAATAATCGCGACATCGAATAATAGAGCTGAAAAGGCTCGTGGTGTGTTGCGCGCCGTTATGAGCATTACAACGTTGCCTCGTTTCTCCTGATTGAATATTTTTTCCGAGAATAGTTTGGAAAGTTCTTTATACCCACGACCATTACTCAATATTTTCACTTCATTTATCATCAGAAGGTAAGGCATTGATGACTTGTCAACAAACTAACCTAAACTGGCGTCAACATGAAAATGCGTTTATTTTTTAACTTTTTCCTGTTTTGCCAAACTTCTACCTTAAATTAACTCCATTTTAAATTCGCGCATTCCTGTTGCAGATGTTAAGGTTTCTATTCGCGTAATCCTTCTGCTTTTTTTCGCGTAATCCTCATATATTTTCTTAGATCTTCCGCGCGCAATTCTGGATTACCGCAGATAACTGTACCACAGCTTTCAGTGGTAAATATGCAGGATCCGTTCAAAAAAATACCCGAAATTATTGACTCTTTAAAGCAGTGGCGTGGCGTGGATTGCGATACATCGATTGTCATGCCATTTAAACCTATGAAAAAAGATCGATTATCAGGGTATTCGCAGCGAACACCTTAGCAATCGATTCTTTACCATAGCTTCAAATGGCGAGATATCGATAATCGATTATTCACGCCACGCCACTGCTTTAAAGGCGCAATTAAAAGTTTGAAGCCGGAAAACGTGCAATTCGAGAAAATAATCGCTGTTGAATTAGGTTGTCCGTGCTGCAACCAATTTTAATTGTTGAGATTTGGACTACATTTCGCAATTAGGAAAGTTAATTTTTGGCCCATCCGTAAAAACACTCATGTGCGTGTAAGGCAAGGCAACTTATGATGCATACGTCGTTTTTAAACTGAGCCAGATAGTGTAGTTCCATATTTCATAATGCAGTCCCTTTAATTTGCTGAGCACAATTTTTGAACGTTCTCAGACTCAAGTTCGCAAAAAAACCGCCATAAATTATAAATATTATTTAGCTAAACATTATCTTAGTAACAGCGGCTGTTAAATGAACTGTGAAAAACGTTCGTTTTAGGAAACCTTGTTTGGGTATTTTTTTCAAATGAAATTTAAGAGAGGTATAATATTCAAGTGAACTGTATAAGTAAAGAAGTCTACATAACTCTTAATTTATCAAGTGCAGTTTTTCAACACTAAAGATATTTAAAAAGAATGTCAAAAAACTATTATAAAAGAGTTGTCATTTTTTTTCAAAGACTTTACGTAAACTTTACAGAGAGTGAAATTCTACATTAAAAAATAGCCGAAAAGAGTTCCCGAAAACAAACATGTTAGCAATTCTCTTGACAGTTTTTGAAAATTCCTTTTTTCTGGTCATTGCTAATTAGTTAGGAGTCATAAACTGGTCAAAAATTAGTTCTTACCATAAATGGTTGAATAACGTTCGTGCTGATGGAAGCCCAAGACCACGTTCTAGACCCTGATTTCTGATTGTATCCACCATCACTAAACCATATCACAGCAGAATTTTCCGATTTAGGATTGAAATCGAAGGGAGATCGCAGATCCGTTTTCATTAGCTGAGGCGAATTGAAAACAAACGCAATCACTGAGTAGAAACTGACGTGGGATAAAAAATATAGATTTTAAGTTTTCAATGCTAGACCTTTTCAAACGCTCTCAAGAAAATTGGGTTGAAGTTTTTGGCAATGATTCACCTTGCTATACTGCCGTGCTGAGGGAAAACGCCGTATGAACCATCAGGAGTTGCCAAATGTCCTGTGATAAAATACGAATTTCTTGGTAAAATTGTAAATACCTTTCTCCCAATTTTTCGGATAATATTGTTCTCAATTCCACCTCAAGTTCCCGGAAAATTTAAAGGAATTATTAAGGAAGTTAGTTTAAAGGAATATTCATAGCTTTCCTCAAAAATGAACATTTTATCGGAGGCAATTTGGCAACTATCGAATGTTCATACGGCGTTCTTCCTAGCACGGCAGTAGGTACAATAATGTAATGAGCGTTTGAACTGAATAATTGGATACATCATCGGTTTCAACTGCTGCACTGCCGATGAACCTTCAGGCGTTGCCAAATTTCTTCTGGCAAATCATTTATTTTCAGGAAAACTTGTGAATATTTCTTTTTCGATGTTTCACAGAATTTTGTTCGTATTATGATCTATAAAGTCTGGACTTTTCAAGATAAAATGTTAAAAACTTTTTTCAAAATTCAATATTTTCTGAGGGGAAATTGGGCAAAATTCGAATGCTCATACGGCGTTTTCCCTTAGCATGGTCGTGCACGAGAGGCAATTAAACATATAGACGGTGAAACTACGAGACTACGTATCTCGTTTGCTGTATTCGAAAATCTCCACTCCCGTTTCATTTTTTTGAAGGAGAACGAATCAATATCATTCCTTGAAGCTTTCACAGAGTTTAACTCGCAGAGAGAGAAAAAATCGCTGGAGTTTCCAAGAATTGACGCTGAGTCGTTTTCCCTTCACAAAATAAAGTGTGACAGGGAGTCTGCAACATCGCAAACTGAGATACGTGGTCTGGTAATTTCACCGTCGATATGCTTATTTTTTTAACGCTGCTGCTCACTAGAATTTTAGAGCCTTCCTTCAGAAAAAAAGGATAGCGAGAGAGAGAGGGGGGGGGGAGAGAAAGGAAAAAATAATCTGTTTGCTGCACATTTATTCCTCAGTTGTTGAAGGATAATTAGACTTCATTGTGCAATTAGGAACTAAAATTTCTGACTCATTTGTAAAAGCACTTATCTGCATAGAGAAACTATTGGCAGATCTGCCGTGCTGAGGAAGAACGCCGTATGAACGTTCGAGAGTTGCCAAATTTCCTTCGATAAAATATTTATTTTTTAGGAAAGTCATGAATATTTTTCCTTCACATTTTCAGAATCTTCAGGTAAAATTGGGAACTAAATTATCTGAAACATTGGGAGGAAAATATTCATAAATTTACCAGGAAATTTGCATTTTATCAAAGGAAAGGCAACGCCTGAAGGCTCATACGGCGTTTTTCCCTAGCACGGCAGATATGCGTCCCTAAAATGAGCCAGAAAGAGTAGTTTCTATTTGCAAAATGTAGTCAAACTATCAGGGGTATCTCAAAAAAGTAACAACACGGTTCGAGTAAAACATTTCAGGCACTAACCTGCACGGATATCTCTTCCGGGCTAGAATTTTCAAACAAGTACTTAAAACTGATGCATCCCTCTGGTCCTCGAATTTTGTCTATCGGGCTCAAACCATGAAAATTGACGCTCCCAGCCCAAAATTTACCCTTGGATGGGCGGTTGCGGTTCTTGCCTTGGCTGCGGTTTGCATCTGCCGATGAGCTTTTCAGGTAACCACCCGTACCGTCTTCTGAAAATGAATATCGACGGTGAAACTACCAAACCACGTATCTCGGTTTGCGACGTCGCAGACTTCCTGTCATACTTTATTTTTTAAATGAAAAGCTACTTAACGTCTAGTCTTGAAAATTTCTGTGATTTTTCCTCTTTGTGCGGAGAAAATTCTGTGAAAATTTCAAGGAATGATATTGATTTGGTCTACTTCAAAAAAATAAAATGCGAGCGTAGATTTTTAAACACCGCAAACGAGATACGTGGTTTGGTAGTTTCACCGTCGATATGCTTCCGTAGTATCAGTGGCGTGGCGTGAATTGCGATCTATCGATTGTTATGCCATTTAAACCTATGGTAAAGAATCGATTGTTAAGGTGTTCGGTGCGAACGCCCTGTTTATCGATCCTTTTCCATAGGTTTAAATGGCATAACAATCGATATATCGCAATTCACGCCACGCCACTGCGTAGTATGCGGAATGAGATACCTACTGTGACGAATTTCTCGTCGTCATATGTAATGAAGAATCAAGATAGGTCCGTAAGGAACACTCAGGCTTCGACAGAGATGCAAATAAAATTTCGCGAAATCGAATCTCATAAAATTTAATTTCCTAACAGAGTGAAATTTCATTTAAAACGATTTTTCAGGGACTGCTCGGCTGCGTATGCAACCCGCAATAATAGTCCGAGAATTTTATAAGAAAACTCTAACTATAACTGGACCGCGTTAAGCAGAAAGGAACCAAGCCACATTATTAGCTATTGCCAAATTTAACTGAGCAATATAATTTTTTACGAAAGAACGTTTGCGCGGATTCCTTTGAAAATTTTGAGGAATTTCCTTCGTACTAGGGAGGAAATTCACTGAAATTTGCACGAAAATCCGTGCATCCGTTTTCATGTAAAAAATTAAATTATCCAATTAAATTTGGCAATAGTCGATGTGGCTTGGTTCCTTTCTGCTAAACGCGGTCCAACTCATATGTTTTTTTTTAAAAAAATAATAAAATCAAATCAAAATTAGAATTTTGGTTTTTCAATGAGTTTCATGGCATATCGAGCCCACGGCAAAATTTTAGAAAAAATCATGATATTTCATTTTACTTTCATGCAAGTTTAAATCTCTATGGGCTTAGAAGAACGCACGAGAAATGTGGCTGTCAACGGGGAAACGGACACAAAAAGGTCGTAAAAATTTATTACAGGCTACTAGAGAGGATCTGAGCTGGAAAAATAAACTTAGGTAACATGTTATCTCTTCAAAATCTTACGTAGAAAACGATTCATGCAACGGGAAGTTCGGAAGTAAACTCTTGAGGTATTGATAAGTGTTTTTAGCACAGATGAAATGGATTGCATTTTGCAAAAAGGAACCACTAGCATTGCAATGTTGCTAAGATTGTGCAACTTATTTTGTCTTGGAGGAAAAACCCGATTATCCCTTAATAGTTCCTATTTTACTCGCTAAAAACTGTAAATTTAGGGCAAAAATTACCATCTTTTCATATATGTAGTTTTTCACAATTTCCGCAATTTTATTGCGAAGGATGAAGTTGCACAATCTTAGCATCATTGCAATGCTAGTGGTTCCTTTTTGCAAAATGCAATCCAAATAGAAGTCGTAGGTGATAAAAATTATGTCTTTTGCATTACTTTAAAGTAGTGTTAATGATTGTAAAAAACTTTATATCTTGTATAAGAGTTGATATCAGACTCCCTGTTTTGCGGCTCTAAGGAAAAAAAACATGCTGCGTAGTTCTTTAAACCTGCACCTTTTCTAGAGGCCCCTTGAAGTATTGACAAGAGCACAGAGGAAGATGTGTTCCACGAAAATTTTTTTACGAAAATTCTAAAAAAATGTCAAATCAAGACTGACAATGAGCTATAGAGCTTCATTGACGTCACCATTTCAAAATAGTACTTTTCCTAAGAAGAGCACACTAAAACGTAGTTTTGTGAGTATGGAACGGCACTCGAGAGTTAGACGGCCGAGCGTTCAACCTTGTGGCTTAACTTTTCCTTTAAAAAACTGGAAACATAGTTTTTTATAGTTCGGCAGAAAGCTGATTTCATTCTTGCCCAGGCAGCGGCTGATTATGAACTGCAATATAAGCTACGACAGAAAATTGTAATTATGTTACAATCATGTTGTGACAAAATAAAATACAATTTTTTGGCATTACCACGGTAGTTCATGTTACTCGCGTAAGGTTCACCTCGCGAAATGTATTACCATGCTCATGAATCTGAAAGACGTGAATGGTCACTTTTCTTGGTTTTTCTGAGGTTGAGTTGGTTTCCCCATCAGAGCGAAAGGGATTTCAGGATGATGTTTGCGTTGATTGACCCTTTACATAGAGAAGAACCTCGGTTATCCGCGGTCGCATTATTCGCGATCGTCTGGAGCACCGATAGGATACTTTGTTTTCTTAGATGTAAACGGGTGGAAGAGGTGGTCAAATGAATACTGATGATCCAGACTGTCAACCATTCAAATTTTTTTCATGAAATGATCATACCCGAAATAGTATTTATCATTATCTCTTTCAAGTTTACTGTACACTACTGCTCAGTTCGCGGGAAACCGATTGATTCGGTACTCTCCTATTCTGCAGCTCGTAGAGGTCCAGTTGCACGATCAAATTGGGCCTCTCATTGGTCGCATTCAGAATGCGACCAATGAGAAGCCCAAATTGATGGCTCAATTTGATCGTGTAACTGGACCTTAAGTCCGAATTTGTTTGCGGTTTTCGATGAAGCGCTATAATTCAAACGACAGCCGTGCGCCATATCACTCGATTGAGCACAGGGGAGAATATCATGAGTGCCACCGCCCGCGGCTCACTAAGGTCCAATACTCAAGAATAAGAAGAAAAAAGTCAGATAACGACTGAAAGATTACGAAAGTTTCGTTGCTGATGTTTTTTGAGTCGCTAATTTCGAATTTGATGTAAAATTGCCTACATTTTAACACCCTGACCTATAAATTGTGGACAAGTTTGTGGCACGCTGCGGCGCCACGTCCTGCCAGCTCGAAACGCGCACTGACGCCTACAAACCTAAGGGGATACTTCAAGCATTGCGCAATGCGTGATGTAGTCCTTTAGGTTTGTAGGCGTCAGTGCGCGTTTCGCGGTAGCAGCACGCCGCGGTTTTCCTGGTGGGTGGGTGGTGACCGATTTCTGGCGGAGAAACCCGTGTATCAAGATTTTTTTTGTTTTTAATTTTCGACTTTTAAAATTACAAACTGGTCGTAATTAATGAACTCTCGACGCTAGATGTAGTGTAATAATGAAGGGTGGATCGTGTGCCATTCGCGCCGCGGACGGCGAAGGGCGGCCTATGAAATTCTCCCCTGTGTTCCGTCGCAAATCACTTGCAACCTTTGAACTCTGGTCGAACATAGACATTTAACCACGAAAAATTGTAATTTTTGGTCTTCAGACCCATGTTCCCGTTCCCGGCAATAAATCTTATCAAAAGGATTCAATTACCGCCTGAGACCAATTATTTTTGATGATTTATAGTAGACCCTCAAATTTTTAATGACGCTCTTGTTTCAGAAATCCAGGGTTGAGCTGATTTCGGTTTTTCGTGATACCTCCCCTTCCACGAAAAAACACGACTGGATAGAAGGTAAGAATGCAAAATAACAAAAACAGAATTTCTTTTGACTGCATGCTGAATTTAGATTTTTTGACGAACCTTCCTTTTTTATCCACTTCCAGCTTCTGCTCGGGTGCCACGAGAATCCGCAATCTTCTTCGTCGAAACTACAATAGACATCTTCAGGCCACTTCGGCTTTTGATTTGCCCCTGAGAAAATGAAAAGGATTTCTAAAAAAACGAAATTAAAGGATTTTTGGAACGACCGTGTAATCCTGTACATACTACAATGTGCCAAAAAAGAATACAATTTAACATTGTTACCAGATCGAGCTGAAAAATCAGCTCATTACCTCATTTATACCCATGTAAAATATCCATATTTTATCACACAATCTGGAAACATTTGCTGTGCGTCGCACAGTGGATCTAGTCAATCAGAGAAGTCGGACATGAAATTTTTGACTAAAAATGCAAATTTTGACGTTTATCCGTCACATTTTAAATTTCAAGGGGTGCTTTTGGAAGAACATTTTAGAACTTTTAGAACCTCAAAGTTTTGTTTAAACGGAGTTATAAGCGTTTAAAGTTTCCAAATTTTGTCCGACCTCTCCTATTGACTCGATCCACTGTGCGTCGGTTTATTTTGAAATCTTACCCTGCGTGTGTGGAAGAACGAAATCAAGGAAAAAATGGCGAAAAATCTAAAAATTAGCTTGTGGAAAACGAGGTTGAACATGAGAGCTGTCTGTAGTCGGTATAAGACGCCGTGCAATCGAGACAGTGTTGTCGTCGATTTACTCTGAGTGCCTGCCGATGGTCGAGGTGCAAAACCACGTGTCTCCATTGCAGTGTTTCAAAATTTCCACTCTTATCTTGCTTTTTTTGAGAGAGACACTCTAACTTTATTGCTTGAAATTCACGCAGAATATACTGACAGCAGAGAAGAAAAATCCAGGAAGTTTTTGAGAAATTACGTTGACTTCTTTTCTGAAGAAAAAATAAAATATGACAGGAAACCTGCAACGTCGCAAACAGAGATACGTGGTTTCGTACTTCGGCTATCGCTATCCTTCATTCCACCGCGCCGCTACAGAAATATGCCGAGTGATCATTCGAGCGTTGCCAAATTTAACCCGATGAAATATTTATTTTTAAAGAAAGTTACGAATATTTCTCTTCAAAATTTTCGACCAGGTTATTTTGAATTCAATTGCGTACGCAATTTTCTGATCCGCGCAGTCTCCCTGGCAAAAATTGGTCGTACGATAGCCCGGCCGCATATTCCCAAACCCCGCGTGGATTGTGAAATCCCGTTTAGACCCCAACCGAAGCCCCTTGTGCGGGTCCGAGACTCCTCCGCACCGGCTCGGCTCAGGTAGTCTCTCATCTCCGTCCAACCTTCATGCCCTTCCTCTGATTTCTTCTCAACAGTTTTGGCCACGAATTAATCGATGTAATATTTATTTATTCAGTTGAATCTTTTGAAACAGCAGAATTTGAGGACTTTTTCAGTAAAAGGGCGAATGGAGCTTGCCATGCTGTTGCGATTGCGCAGTTTTCTTACCGTTCGCGGCAAATGAAATTCATTCACAGTCGATTTATGTCCTTTAAATCGCCAGGAAAAACTCTGAGCAGATTCAACGAAAAATAAACAGCAAAACAGTCGGATAGAGAACTATACGTTGCACAATCTTAGCAGAAATGGACGTCTCGTACGCCCTTTCACCGAAAAATGCCTAGGTAAATTACGTGCAGTGGAAATATTTTTTAATGCCAAAAATTTCGCAATGCAAAGTCATGACGTCACCTTCGTTGATCGCATGATCAATAAACTTGTCTATTGGCTATGCCTACCGTTATGTTCTTTGTAAAAAACATTTTTGATGGAAAATAACTCTCGGAACATTTTTAGAGCAGCGCAATGCATATGCATCTCACAAGCCTCTTTGATTAGTGGAATTTGCGGAGCTTTTGTACTGGAAAAAAATGATTACGTAAGAATTAATATTCTTGAATTTGCCGCTAGGAGGAGATTTCTCTTGGCTTAAGCTGCAAAATGCGTACCTACTTTGAGAAAAAAGCCGCTGCCGCTCATATCGAGCAGGATTCGGCCTTATTCCAGTGACCTTATTCTTGATTCAAGAGCAGTATTCTTGACGAAAAATTCAAGTAATTTTTTTTTTCTTTTTTCAATTATTTCCTTTCTTTTACTTATATAGTTCTGCGCAGAACCTATCACCTTGCTTGAAAGGATAAACAGTAAACCTGGTGGTGAAGAAAAGTTATAAAAAAAAGTCTCTGCATTTGCGAGGATGAATATGCACTTGGTGTCTCACCCGAATCAATAGGAGAGCTATTAAAACCCCATTAAATAGGAATAGAAATTTTTATGAAAAATAAATGTTCCCCAAAAAAAGTTCATCATTCAACTACGTTGTTTGAGAGACTGAACATAATGAATGAAGGCAGAAACCTAAAAATACTGTCAATGGTGCATTTCAAAATGCACTCAACATGTGACAACTCTGCGAAGGGCTTGTTTTGAGGAGGAAGAAGATATTTTCCGGAAAACAAAAAGAGTGGACCGCGAGGTCACCCCCATTCATTCCGAAGGGTTGAAGAGACAATCAGACGGGGCGGCGAGACGCGAGACGGGAGAAAGGAGAAAGGAGAGAGGATGGCCGCAGTGCCCAAGGCCACTTGCTGAAGAGGCCCATGCCGACCGCGGCAGGGCTCAGAAGGCAGCGGCTAACGATTTTGAGGACAGGCTAGATTTTTCACAATCCACGCGGGGTTTGGGAATATGCAGCCCGGCCATAGGTTTGCTATAGCCCAGCCATACTGCCGTGTTAAGCAAGAGCGTCGTATGAGCCACCAGGCGTTGCCAAATTTCCTTCGACAAATCACAAATTTTCAGGAAAATTTGTGAATATTTCTTTTTCGATGTTTCACAGAATTTTGTTCGTATTATGATCTATGAAGTCTGGACATTTCAAGATAAAATTTTAATAACTTTTTTCAAAATTTAATATTTTCTGAGAGGAAATTGAGCAACATTCGAATGCTCGTACGGCGTTTTTACTTAGCTTGGCACCATAGCAGAGGCTGATCCAGAAAGGCAACACCTGATTCCCTCCACTTAAACCTATGTTAAATAATCGATTCTTGTCGGAGCACCTGACCCTGGTCCCTCTAAGAATCGATACATTTCCATAGGTTTAATTGGAGAAAAGCAATGTTGCCACTTCGCTGGATCCGCCGATACACCATAGCATCATAGGTAGTATAGCTCAGCTATAGGATTTGTTTTCGCCCGCATATAGGTGGGCTATATGGACAATAGGTAATCCTATAGCCGAGCTATATGCAGGCTATAACAAATACTATGGCCGGGCTGTATCTCAAAGTACTATTGTACAATGCACAGCCCATTTTTACCAGGGGTACGCCAAATTTCCTATTATAGTTACTCTCAAAGGTTGAAAACCAAGTGTGTTTTACCGTCACATCGGTATAGATCCCGGATCCTTCGCACATCACCCTTACTCAAATGTTGGACGTCCATAATTGGCAGCCGTTCACCGAATTTCGATTTAAGTGTCGCTTTGAGGGGTGCGATCTTAAAGACAGAAAAATTAACATTGTTCACAATAACGTAAAATAATGTGTAGAAGATAATGAGTATACCAAAGAGAAAACAAGAGCCGCAACACTGCCGTGCTAAGGAAAAACGCCGTATGAATCTTTAGGCGTCGCCAAATTTCCTATGATAAATCACGAATTTTCGGGAATATATATGAACATTTTCCCTCCGATTTTTCAGGGAATTTTGTTCGTAATTTGATTTAAATAGTCTAAAAATTTCGAGTGAAAACATTGATAATTTTCTTTAAAAATAAACATTTCATCCGAAGAAATTTGGCAACTCCCGAATGGTCATACGGCGTTTATCCTCAGCATGGCAGAATATGAATTGCGAGCCGAGTGGCACCTCTTTTTTTTTTTTTTTTTTTTTTTTTTTTTTTTTCAGGGACATTCCCCATCTGACTTTATTCAGTTTTAATGTGATACAAAATAAATGAGTGTGCATATAATAGTTGTTTACATGGTGTTGATAAAATTATTTACATTTGAATAGGACGGAAATTATCGGTAGATATCTCTATCGCCCTTGTTAGATTTATATATGATAATTATAGTCTCTAAGAATAAGGAGTACATGAGAAATAATATCTTAAGTCTATATTATAAGGGACCAGGGGACCTCTTGCCTTTAAGAGTCGTGTCTGATTGGCTGATTCTCCTGGTACTCACTTTCAGGGATCCTCATGCAAAACATCACGGGGCTCATTGTTAATCGAAAGAGATTGTTAATCAGAAACAAGGAATAAATGATGCGTCGGAGATTTCAGAAATCAATTTTCCAGATTTTTATGAAGAGATTGACACTGAACACCGAGCAGTTCGACGATGAAGTTTGTTTTTGAAAGTTGGAATATGACACTTCGATGTCATGTGAAACACATTCCAGGTGGAACTGTTCGTTGTTTTTGAGGAAAGAGTGTCATGCATTACCCATCAATCTCTTCATAAAAATCTGGAGAGTTGATTTCTGAAATCTCCGACGCACAAACTTTTCCTGTTTTCGAGATATTTTCGATGAAAAATGAACACCGTGTCATTTTCTATGAGGGCCCCAGAAAAGGTAACCAGGCAAATCAGGCAATCAGAGAAGACAAATCAACATCATTCCTCGAAGTTTTCCCAGAGTTTTCTTTCACCGAAAAAAAGTGAAGTTGATACAACATTCTGGATGTAAAAAAGTGTGCGAGAACTCACAAAAAGCTAAAATACCCGATACGGCAGTTAGTTTTACATCTTGACATTGCTAAAATCACTGCTGTGGAAGTTAATTCAGCATTTTGTAAGTTCTCGCACACTTTTTTTACATCCAGACAGTTATGAACTTCACTTTTTTTTCAATGTTGCACAAAGAAGAAAAATCACGATAGTTTTCAGAATTTCCGTTTAGAAGTTTTCCATTAAAAAAATAAAGTATGACCGGAAATTCGCAACGTCGCAAACCGAGATACGTGATCTGGTAGTTTACCGTCGATATTTGCTTTCCTACTCTATTTTCACATCACGGTAGGTATACTTTTAACGATTTGAAATTAGATTTTTTGCGGTGTTACTTGTCTGTTTTCTATTTTTTATTTTCGCATTTCAGTATATTTTTGACGTTATGCGATTAGATTTCTTGCGGTGTTACGTATCTGTTTTCCATTTGATGTCTGAATTAAACATCTTGTCTCTTTGACAGGATACTTTGACGTTTGATTTTTGCGGTACACACAGAAAAAAAATACACAATAAAATGGTGCAAACAAAATGATGTTGTTCAAATCAAGCCTCATTAAGAAAAAAAGGGGCCAAGGGGGAACGAGTTGATGATTTATGTGGTAATAAATACTCCAGGCTCAGAATTGTTGAATACAACATTACTTCCACTTTCGACTCTTATATGATTTAAACAGTTTGTGAACTTAATTTGATGCCTACATGCGAAAAATACGTATATCATTTGTAGCGATTATTTTTTTTTAAAGGTAAACTGATCAAATTGTTTCTTTAGAATTTGGTGTGATTCTTCAAATTGAGTGCAGATGCAAAAGTTCGCAAATAATTTCAATACTGAGCTGTTTGTGTGTTTCTTTTTTAAAAAATAAATAAATGAAACACCAAAGGAGTCCAAGAACATCGCTACCTGAGGTACGCATTTTTCGACTTCAGCCGGTCGATATTCGTTTAGTAAGGATTGCATTGCACCGCGAGGTCTCTACTTCGCCAAATCCATGACCTGTATTTAGTGCTACTTAACAAAAATCGCGCGCTCTTAGAGCATTTTCATTTGGATTCCGGGGCTACTCGCCCACAGACTCATCATCCAAGGTACAGTTCACCCAGACCTTTTCACACACAACTCTTAAACCACAGTATTTAGACCCCCGTATCCTTTTGTATACATGACTTTTTGCAAAGAAGGAGTTTTCACCCACAAGTATGTTATACAAGGTCATAAAGTCAAGGGAGGTAGAATCGAGGACGAACTTGATTTTTACTAAATTTTACTAAATTTACTAAACAAATTCCAGTTTCCAATAATTCAGGCTTACCGCGAGAGAAGTGCTCAATTCTAACTTTTACAACTTTTTCCAATGTCAATATTAAAATTATTTTCGATGGAGAGAATCGGGTAACGGTAATTAGACGTTTCGCCGTGGCGGTCATTAAAAACACAAAGTTACAACAGAATGAATCGCTCGTCCCTGGACATCATGCCAAACGAAGGTGCGTGATACAACTATTTCAACTCCTGAGCCGCTCAAATTGCATCTATCGAGTTGAAGGCGAACTTCATTTCGAACTCAAATTTCCAATTATTCAGGCGAGATTGCCAGAGCGGTGTTCAATTCTAACTTTTGCAACTTGCAACTTGATGAAAACGCTTGTAGGTAAAAAAAAACCACATAGATCAAAAGGGTTGCGGTGAGCATATCTGTGGGTGAAATAGTCTAGGGTGAAAATGTGTGGGTGACCAGTCGCTCAGTCGAACATACTGTGGGTGAGAAGTCCTCAGCCACCTTCATTTCGTCGCTTCTCTGACGTAAGGGCGTATCTCAATTTCTTCGTGAGCCCCGTTCTTCATATAACCCCATGCTTTTTAGGGCTCACGTGAAAAAAGAGCTACGCCTTTACGTCAGAGGAGCGACGATTTGTGCAATGAGGTCTCTTCAGAGGCGCTTCTGGCAAGTTAGTAACACGTTAATCCTCTATCTAAATCCATTGATTTTTATCGATTCTACATGGGACTGGCTACCTCTAAATCTATTTTTTTACATACATTTAAACGAGGAAAAACAGCGTTGCCAGCTTGCAAGAATCGTGGCACTGGTCCCTTCTTCAGCAGACGGTTACGAACCAACATTACTGAGCATAAAAAATCACATCACCTTTGACTTTGAGAAAGTATGGTAGTTATACATCATTACTGATTTCCGATCTAGGGGTTCTCCCAGCAGATTTACTTCATGGTATTCGTGTTTATCAAACGATTTCAAGTGTTCCTGTGACATTTATGGTAAAAATGGTTAGCATGCACAATACAAAGTGTTCCTGTGACATTTATGGTAAAAATGGTTAGCATGCACAATACAAGGATACATGGAAACATTTAAAACGCAATCTTTTATCGATACTTATTATTAGGAAGAGAAATTAACTCAAGTAGGTAATTAATTTTCAAACATACATAGGTAGCGTATCGAAATGATCACCTATGAGACGAGTATTTAGTCTTACTCTCTTCAGTGCATTAGGTATATTAGGTACTTTCAAATCTTCAAAATTTTCTAGGGAGAGGGGGGGGGCGAACCATACCCTTACGCCTCTTCCCTGGGGCTACCACCCTTATTCCCTCCCGGATCCCGATTTCCTTCCGGCTGTGGGAAAGAGGAGACACATTGGCAACGTCGCAGCAATCATAAATGCGAGCTAAAAAGACATTACGTTGTAAACAGGTGATGGTCTGATGATGTGCGTGTTGAAATATCATGGAGGCGTAAAGGGCCCCACGTTGAACTTGGCAAATTAAAGTCCGAGGGTAGGGAGACCGAAAATGTGGTGCAGAAATTTGCCAAAAACATTCCTGGTCATAATTGCTGCGACGCAACGTTGCCAATTTGTCTTCTTTTTCTCTCAGCCGGGAGGGAATCCAGGAGGGAATCATGACGACCCCCCTCCCTGGGTCCGCCTATGCCCTGCCAAACCCTTGATTTAAACCCTAATATTATCAGCGATCAATAGATTTCCCGACAAATTTCCCAACCAACCAACCAACCAACCAACCGACCTCATTTCATATAGCTACTACCCGAGAGGCATTTCTCATCGGAAAAATCGCCACAAATTTCGATTTTATCGCCGATAAAATCGCCAGAATTATCAACATCTGAGCGATTATCCTCGATCTTATCACCCGCCAATTTATCGCGATAAATGGCGATTTAAGCTCGATTTTATCGACGAAAGAAAATTGATCACGATTTTATCGAACTCAAAATTGCGATGCGTAGCGATTTAATCGCCATACATCGCAATTTTTAATGCGATAATATCTCGATGAGGGTGATTTTACGATAACAGGNGCAACGTTACCACAACGTTGCCCGAATACGTAAATGGCGAAATTGCAACGTTTTGGCAACGTTACCACAACGTAATTTTGCCGGGCGGGTTAGCATGCAGATTAGACTACACTTTGGACTCTTAGATTGTCGCGCCTTACCGGCTTAACGTTTTTCGTGAGAACTTCCAAATACTCGTCTCTATCGGGGCGTCTGTGTTCGTCTATCAAGCTGAGGGTATGTCCTAGTTCGTGTAGAACCAAGGCCCTGGACCAAACTGCGGGATGAAAGCGGATATATGTCTCACCTTCACCTCTCCCCAAGGTGGCCTCCGCTCCTCGGGAACTGAAAATCAAACTTGTGAAATTCGGGAAATACTGAAGATGTGACCATTGCCTTTCGATATGAATAGCGGACTGATCATTGGAATCGATGGACAAAGCGATGGACAAATCAGACAAAGGAAAAATGGAGGGGTCTTATTGGTGGGAGCGGGTGGTTCCGATGGATAAAAGAGGAAAATGAAGCACTAGCGAAATGGTCTTTCGTGGATTTCCGTTAATTAGTCTATTACTTACCTCGTTTGTCCATTGAAACCACCCGCTTCCACCAATAGGATCGCTCTGTTTTTCTTCTATCCTCTTTGTTCATAGCTTTGTCTATCAATTTCAATAATCAGCCTGCCGGCCACATAAAAGGAGAAAATCGGTGTAAGCTTGAAGGAGCGCCGTGTACTTATCTCGGTTTGTGACGTTGCAGACCTCCTGTTGTACTTCATGTTTAAGATGGAGAAATAATCTCCTAAAAATTTCCCCGATTTTTCTTCTCAGCATGAAGAAAATTTTGTGAACATTTCAAGCGATAGTGCTGGTTTGTTCTCTTTTGATAAAATGAAAAATAAGCGGAGATTCTGTAACACCGCAAATGAAGTACGCCTACCTGTAATTAAATGTGTGATCGTCAAATAAAAAAATAAAAAAAAAAAAAAAAAAAAAAAAAAAAAAAAAAAAAAAAAAATAGTAGAGTCAGAAAATTTTCCATAGGAGCTTTTTTCGGAAAATTGTACCCAAAAATCTAAATAATAAGGAAAAATAGGAAATATGAGTCACTCTCGCGTCAAGAGCCGTGCCATTACGCCACGGTGATGATGGACCGGTACGCAACTTTTGTGTCGAGCTTTTTACTTTCTCGCTCCCATAGGGTAGAGAGGAAGTATTTTTTTCTTCTCTTTTTACAAAAGACGGGCAAGGCGAGTTTTTATCCTATTTTCGTTACCAAGTCAATGATTCTTGAGCGGTTATCGCTCCGGACCTCGCGGAAAATCTGAACTTGACTTATTGAGAGAGGACTTCAAGAACACAATAAATTTCGACTTGAAGCACCTTCGTATTCCCGTGATACCCCACGCTTTGCTATGCAGCTACTTTAGATACAGAACCGACCTAAACACATAACTTAGATCACCGAAACTGAAAAACAAATCTCATGAAAAGGGATCTTAAATTTTTTTTATATCGATTCATCATGCTTTAGATAAAGATAAAAAAAGTATGAGAAGTACATTTCTCATCATTCGTAAGTCGTGAAGGAATCAGTGTGTTGGCTTTCATAATTCTCTTTCTTTTTCTTTTTTTCTTTAACTTTTCAGTTGTAATCGCCCTATCGGAGACTATCTTTTTCCTGGTGGACTGGTTCGCCTCTAAAACATTCCAACTTGTTTTTTTAACTCTTCCTCTTATTTTATTATTTTTATTAATTATCATCAATGTGCGAGTTCTAAATAGTAAAAAAAAGGATTTCAAACGACGTGAAATATTACATACGTGTAAGGATCCTCAAAAATACGCACGTAATCTCGTTCTCCACTCCTCTCTTTGAAACGAACACAAGTTTTTTCGGTGTATTCGAACATAGCTCTCATTATGCACTTGCATCTATTAGAGTTGGGGCATCCTGGAAGAAGTTACAAGAAGCTTAAATGGACCACACTTTTCATTTAGGAACTGCAATTACGCTAAGCAGTGATCCATGTGCGTGCGGTGCGCTCTTCATTTAGATTCAATAATTAAGGCGCTTGCATGCGACTATTCGTACTTAACGGATGCCCGTGTTGCATATACGAAGGAGTGAAGGCGCTCTGGGTTTCCTCACGCCACCGCCTACTACGATAGCGCGTGCAGCGCGCTGTTTTGTTAAGTCACGGATAAGTTGAACTACATTTTGCAATCGGGAACCTCAACCTCTAGCTCAGTTTATATAACGTATGAACCATTAATCTCCCTATTCGCACTTAAGTGGTTTTACGGGTGAGCCAGAAATAGGAGTTCCTCATTGAAAAATGTATATAGTTCATATGTGGAAGTGTGTATCTCAGAGGCTCTGTGAATCAATTTAAGTACAAAGTTTAATGCAATGCGTAATGTATCAAGGTACAATGTGTACAGTTCTGAGAAAAATTTTTAAGAACTCTTGCGCGAAATCGCTGCAAATTGGGTAATGCCTTAGGAAAAAAAGTAATGAATACATTGACATTGGGCTTCAATTATTCTCGCTGATCTCTGTTCCTCCTCCTGATAGAAATTGCAGATAAATGGACCGAATTCAGTAAAAGTGCGCCAAATCGCATTTTTCAAGAAAAAAAATGAGTCGGGATCAGTTCTGATTGGCAGTGCTTAAGAGCGCAAGTTTTGAAAAGCGCAACTCCTAAAAGTGAGAAATCCACAACACAAAAGTGCAACATATCGATGGCTAAAATGCGAAACCACGTATCTCGATCCGTTTGCGACGTTGCAAACTCCCTGTCATTCTTCACATTTCCTGAGGAGGATTATTAAACGTAATTTCTTGAACACGTCCTTGATTTTTCTTCTTTGCCGGCAGAATATTCTGTATAAATTGCAAGGCATATGGTTAGCGTGTTTCTCCTCGTAAAAATCGAACAGGAGCGAAAATTTTGAAATTCCGCAGTGGAGATACGTTGTTTCGCATTTTAGTAGATGTACCAAGTAGCATTTTTTAACGGAATAATATAGCGATATTTTGAAATTGAGTTGCGATTTTTGAAAGATAATTTGGCGATCAAATCGCTGCGATCATCAAAATCTGAGCGGTTGTCGCGATTTTATCTCTATGCAGTCGCGTTCGACAGAATCGAAATTTTATTTCAATTTATTTTGTTATTAATTTTATTTACGACTTTTTGTTCTATAATATTGCGAAAAATCGCCGTCGATACAATCGCGGTCTTATTGCAAATTTATGCAATGAATTTGCAACTTTTCATCCGATAATATTGCAATAAATCAATGTCGATAAAGCGATACATTCTCCGAGCAAGTCGCAACTTATAGTGATCACTGCTAATTTGGTCAATGTATTATTCACAATTTAAACTCACCAATTCCGGGTTCTATTTTGTAAATGACTGCTGCTCTTCGCCATAAGCGTTCTGGGTACTTCAGTAACTTCTTAGTTCGGTACTTCATCGAAAAAAGGAAAGAAAATTATTATTTATGCAAAAAAAAACCGTCATCAACATCTTGGAAGGTATGAAGAATGCGCTCATAAAATTTTCAGGAAGGATGTTGCTTAGTTCTCAAAAATTCTTAAAAATTTAACACGAGATGAAATTAGTCAACGCCCGATGGAGTCAGACTGACTCTGTGTAATGCAGTGATCTCTAAATGCTGATTTTACAGACGAAAAACAGGCAATTTGCAATGCGAGGAAAGGTTGCAAATTATTCAAATTTTACTGCAATAAGTATAAATTTAAATAGGAAAAGCCCCTTTCAATTTATAGATAGGCAACACGCACAACATCCCTTGAAGTGACGGTGTTTTTATGCCGAGGAAATATGACGTCTTACACCGTTTTAGGATGTGGAATTGAAGAGAATCATACTGTAAAGTAAAATTAAGCCGATCATCATAGTTTGATTGAAAATTATGTCAAAAAATCTGAACATCAAGAGATATTTGTCAAATAAATAGAAAAACCGCTCATCTGAAAAAACGGCGTGTCTTGGCATTTAAAAAAATGTCCGATATGACTACTGCAGCCTTCAACATAATATGTATATCACTCCAATGTTTTCAATGCAGGAATCCGAAGTTTTTGTCACTAAAACTGAATTTCTCGGGCAATCAAAGTCTTCTGTGAAGAATACAAATGTAGTCACCCGTACAAGCATTGCAATGTGACTAAAATCGTGTGTTTTCTTCTGTCTTAATTGAGGGGCTTTGAGGACGAGGCGCATGAGTGCAGTTCTAAATGCATAATCTGTGAAAAATTCCCTCCCGAATTCAAATTTAAAGCATCAAAAAGTCAGTTTGAACTTTCCTCCGCCACAAGGATCCATGTAATTTCGGAACTTCAAACACTTATTTCTCGAAATAGCAAAAAATTCAATTATGCGCCTTGTACCTACTCCAAGCCCCTCGATTGCAAGTGCAAGAGCAACCTGAATGTACGAAACAGTTCATTTTTGTGCGCCGAAAATATCTTACTTGAATGAGAAAATCATCCCGAAGATATGGTTTTTAAGCCTGCTTCCTGTTAATCATTTGCGATTATAGTAGCTCCTTTTTAAAAGGTACAGTAAACGTATATTACTAGGAGCGGTAGCGACCCCGTCAAGCCTATAGAGATCTCCAACAACGAAGAAATGGGAGCCGCCACTGTATCTTACACGAACCCGTTCAACTTTTGCGTTATTTTGAGATATTTTACTTTCTTACCTGCAGACCTGTCACCCGAGCCACGGCGAATTCATCATCAACTTGGAAAACGTGCTCGCTGTCTTTACCATTTTCAGCAGTTAAAGTCAGCAGAGGAACCACATCAAGGATGAGCAAAATCAAATAATAAATTGATACAGCCATTCCCGCAAAATCTGGGCCCGACGGACCTGCCCACTCAGTAGATAAATTGACCGCACTCCATCAAAACCCACCACCTCTCAAAATTTTTCCGATGAAATGCAATGCACGCAGCGATGACGTCCTTGCTTTCTAGGAGACCGTTCTTCTCTCAATGCATTTTCAACTTTTAATTAGAGCATGAAGTAAACTACTGTGATGAAGAATTTCTGAGTAAAAAGAAATTTCCAATGCGTGAGCCCTGAGCGCATTCAACGGACCGCCAGACACTGCGAAAGCCCGAGGCTCTACGGCACGTCGCCACAAAAAGTTTTACTCAGAACGCAGTGGATGTGCCTTAGAAGGGGAATGTCCTGGATAAAAAAAAAAAAAATAAAAA